GCTTTTTTTTTTTTTTTTTTTTTTTTTGTACCAGAGATTGAACTCAGGACCTTGTACTTGTAAGGCAGGCGCAGTGCCACTGAGCTATATCCTCAGCCCTACATTGGCCATTATTTGATTGGTTCTTTTATTTTGGGGAATCTAAGTGTTTTGAGTTCTTTATAAGTTCTAGATATTACTCATCTGTCTGAAGAATAGCTGACAAAAATTTTTTTTCCATTCTGTAAGTTGTCTCTTTACTGTGTTGTTTCCCTTGCTCTGCAGAAGACTTTTGATTGTGATCCCATTTGTTGATTCTTGGTGTTATCGCTTGTGGGATGGGATTCTTTTACATCTGCAAGAGTTTTATCTTTTTAATCTCCCAGCATAGTGTGTTTCTGTTTTAATATTTTAGATATTTGGTCCATTTTGATTTTAGTTTAGTATATGGTGAAAGATATGGGTCTAGATTCAATCTTCTGCATGTGGACAGCCAGTTTTTCCAGCACCCTCTATTAAAGAGGCTGTCTTTCCTCTAGGGAAAGTTTTTGGCCTCTCTATGAAAGAGGTAGCTGAATATACTTGGAGTTGTTATTGCATCTTCTGTTTCATTGATCCACATGTCTACTTTGTTTTTTGCCAATACCATGCTTTTGTTTTATTACTATAGATTTGTAGTATAATTTCAGTCTGGAATTGTGATTCCTCTTGCCTTGATCTTGTTGCCCAAGATTGCTTTTGCTATTCTAGATCTCTTTGGGTTCCATAGGAATTTCAGTATTGTTTTTTCTGATTCTGTGAGGAATGCTATTGGTGTTTTGGTTGGAATTGCATTAAATCTGTATAACAGTTTTAGAAGTAAGGCCATTTTGAATATATTGGTTCTGCCTATTCAGGAACAGTGGATAGCTTTCCCTTTTCTGATATCCTCTTTGATCTCCTTTTTCAGAGTACAGTAGTTTTCTTTGTAGAGATCTTTCACTTTCTTGGTTAGGTTAATTCCTAGTAGCTATTATTGTAAAAGGTATCATTTCCCTAATTTCTTTTTTGATCTCATTATTGGTATGTGGGAACACTATTTCTATGTATTTGCTTTATAATCTGCTACAATACCAAATTTGGCTATTCTAGGAGTCTTTGGTGGAATTTTTGGGGTCTTCTCTGTAGAGGATCTAGTCATCCACAAATAATGATAATTTGACTTCTTCTTTTCCTGTCCTATTATGGCTTATATCTGGTTTTCTTTCCAAAGCCTCATGTACTCATAGTGAGGCTTGTCAGAGCTGGCTGGATCTAGGTATGTGATACTGAGATTAAGGGTATGTGGCACTGAATCAGTCCACTGACTGGTTTAGCATAGTTCTGGGTGTAGATTTGGAAAGGTTCACCCTGAGTGTGGATGGTACCACCAAAAAGACCTGGATGAGGTAAAAGGAAAAGGGAGTCTTGCTTCACTGCTGCTGTCTCCTGCCTGCCCTGTTTCTTCTCTTCTATGCCCCTTGCCCTGTCCCCCTGCCTTGGAGCCAGCTGACTATAGACTAAAACTACAGCAAACTAGGAACTGAAATAAACCTTTCCTCTTAACTTGTGGGTGTCCAGTATTTTGTCCCAGCAACAAAAAGTAACTAAGACAGATTTTGGTACCAAAGAAGTGTGGTTGTTGCTATGACACTACCCGATCACATGGTTCAGAAGCCTTTGAAATAGGCTTGTGGGAGGTGTTTGAAAAGGTTTGGAGATGCTGGCTGAAGAAGCAGCCCAAGAATGCTGTGAGCCAAGTTTCATGGGAAATTCTTTCAAAGCTCAGAAGACCAGAATGTTGACTACAGTGCTGCTGGAAAAGACCAGGCTCAAGAGGTTTCAGTTGAGAAAAAGGACTTCATTGGCAGTTGGACTCCAGATCGTGTGTGTATTATACTCTGGCTAAAAATTTGTCTGCATTTTATTCCTGTCCAGAGATTTTGCTTGAGACTGAGATTAAGTATGGTAGACTAATTAATCTGGTAGAAAAAATTTCAAGGCACTCTAATGTTAAGGCAATAATGTGTATACTCTTGGGGGCTTTTAGCCAGATCTGTGTTGAGGATCAAGAACATACAGCTCAGCAGAATGATTTAAAAGTTTTGAATTTGGCCAGAAAGGAATCTCCAGAAAAGTTGCAGACTGCAACATGGAACAGAGAAGAACTTGGTTGCTAAAATAATTGGCATTAAAAAGCCAGGTACTTTGGAACTGGACAGTAAATAGAATAGAGAGCCTAAAGTCATCACAAGAACCAGCACAACTCCACCTTTTGCAGCCTCAAAATTGCAAAGGTGAAACACTTTGTTTTGAGAAAAAAGCCCCAGAGCACCATATTTCAGAATGGCAGCATCCTAGAGAATTTGTTCCTTTGAATTAGGTTCAGTGCTCAATAGTCCAGGTAGTTGATCCCTACAGCCAAGAGAGAAAGAAATGTGGCTACTGCTCCAGCTGGCAGCCGACCTTGGCATCATCCACATG